TTTTTTTTACTTTAGTGGTACACTCGTCTGTCAACTCATATCCTAGTTCTACCGAAAATAACCCCCTCAAAAAAATAACTCTGACTTTCTCTCCCGCCACCGAACTGTCTGTGCAAGTGGTACATCGACATTTTTTTTCCTCAATACGTACTTGGCTTGTAATTGATCAAGGTGCATTTTAAAACCGAGTAAGTGAGAGTGTGTCTCTAGCTTGTGTACCAGTGGTCATGACCAAGAGCACACTAGGTTATCATTTCATTAGCAACGGTTGGAATGGAGGGAAAAATAAAAAAATTTCAGAATCAATAAATATATTTAAATCTAGCGTTTAGTGATTTACAATTTCACAATCAGTATTTTACTTGCAGTGCATTATCCAAAAAAAAAAAAAAAACAACAGATCTTAGCTCCTCGAACATGGGCATGCTGGTATAAAAGGGGTCTCCCACGATATTTGTTGTACCCAAGAATGCAAATGTTCTGTGGGACACTATGCCGCGCAACTAAGTGGTCCTGTACATTAAAAAATAACAATATTTTATACAACTACTGCAAGTAGAATTCAAACTGTGATAGTAGTGATTTTCATATTACTTATGTGCAGACTCTGCTCAAGTACGTAGTGTCATAAGAAGTTCACTTCACGTATGACAAAGCGACACTTGTCGAGCCTGATGTAAAAGCTATGATTTCATAAGCAATGTAAGACCTCTTTGAAGTTACTTAGATGTTTAAGGTATGCTTGTAGATTACAATGTTGTCCGTATATATGAAAACATAATATTAAAGGGTGTCCTTTAAGATATCGTTTATCATCGGCTGGAAGGTGGCGGATGCGTTGGTAAGACCGAAAAGAATCAGCGTAAACTCATAGTGGCCAAAGCGCGATCAGGAATTGATCTTAATACCACGCTAATTCGGTGGTAACTACTACGAATCGGTTTCTACCAGATGGTTAAACAACGTATTTGTGCAACGCATATAATAGTTTGTGTAGTGGTAATGCAAAACCTAAAAGCATCGTCCAGTTTGCGAGCAAAGAGGACGGATGCACCTCAACGGGGGTATTAAGTTTGATAAAACCCAATTGAAGGAGTTTTTCAAACTCACGCTTGAGTTCCGCTGCCTCTGAAATTGAGAGTCGGTAGGATGCCTGATGATGAACAAGAAAGTCAGGTAGGAGTTGGATATAATGCTCTATATAGCGCATCAAAGGAATCCCCTGTATGAAAGTATGGGTGAAAGACATCATGGTACTCTCGAATCAAGTCATAAATGGGTTGCTTTAAGTCAACCATGAACCATACAAGTTCCTTAGCGTTTTCTTGATCATGAGGCATGTGCAAACTCAATAGTGGATGGCGTAGAAGTTTGGGATGTGGAAGGAGGATCCATAAGTTGAGCGGTAAATGTAGTGATAAAAACTGCAAAGATAGAAGAAGGGTGAGGCGGATTGAAATATGAGGCTATAAGCTTAATGTCCTTCAGACAGGATTATAGTGGAGGAGATCCATGATGTTCACCTCATAAAGTTTGACGTCATGCTGACGTATGAAGTGGGCGAACTGGCTAGGAGAAGTCAAAGAGATGTTCGGGGTAGGACTATGAGAGGTGATGGTCCGAAGAGGTAGGTGAGGTGGAGTGTCACCCATGGTACCGAGGAAGGGGATACGATGGGTAAGACTACATTATTTTGAGAACGAGTACTGCGATCTCCCTTCCGTCTTCTATCGAGCAAAACTAGCAGGACCACGGAGCGCCAAGGATAAAGTCGTACCCGCTCTCCATCACATGGAAATGTGTGGAGTGAAATCATAGAACCAAGCGGGTACTATCTGACGTTTGAAGTGGAAAAGAAAAATGGAAGTCAAAGACCATATGATTTAAGAATCGTGACATTTAGTTATATCGGAGGGTAACAAAGAGAACATAGAGACCCGGTAGTGGGAAGATAATCCTCTCTGACAATATGAGGTTGAAAGAAATCGTGCTGTCAACCGGAGTGTTATAAAGTGTGGTGCACCCTAAGTACAATAGGTAAGTTGCGATAAGGATCAACGGTTAAAGAGGTGAGACGATTCAATACATGCATATATTTGGCAAATTGGGCAGTCGATTGTGATGGACGCTCAAGTTTATGAGCGATGACACCTCGACAAACGGTGGGGCAGAAGGAGCCGTGTCTATGGTGGATTGAGGAACCTATGATGTGGTAGCCAAAGCGGCAAATCGTGACTCACTGGCCGAAAAACCGACTGATGATAAGGCATTTGAGGTATGGTGCACGGTAGCTAGGTGCATGGGGCGATTGAGTGAGCGTCGGAGGGGGACTGAGATTGATGATGACGTGCAATGCCAACATAGTACCCATAAATGACGACGTGGTACGAACACTAGGAGGAGATATGGTCGTTTTGTCGATAGCGGAAGCAATCACGATGGACCTCGATGTAGTGTCTGGTATGAAGTGTCTACGAGGGGGACAAGACTTGACGTGAGGGCGAAATGTTGCACAACGAACGTGGGGGCGTTAAGTTGTGTGGACCAATTGTGATCATGGCCCATAGTGGACATGGCCATCCTCAACCCATCACCTTAAGCGGCAGTCTCGTCATCCAAGTGGAAACGCATGTTGGAGCACACATGCTCTCACCACTTCGAAGACATATAGTCCTTGAGTTTCAAGGAGATTTGCAAATTATCGAGAAATGACTCTGTCGTCCGAAACGCTTAGGATGAAAAACTGCAATTTCAAGGATGTTCAAGATGCGTCGAACGAAACCCTTGGAGCCTTGCCACATGGGCTGCAAAACGAAGCGAAACGAACTTGGGATGCAAGTCCTCACGATTGACCAAATTCATTCGTTTTTATCATTTTAGGTATCACCACCACATAGTGCTCACAAGTGCATTCCTGGATGGACTTTACAACCCCTAACATCGAAGAAATGAATGTCCCACACTGCCTACCTGATCCGTATATGGTCAGACTCCCCGTACGCGTGTGAGAAGGCGGCTCATTTGGAGGGCCTCAAAAGCACCCCTGAATTTCAACCCGCTGCACTCCATCGGCAACTCTCTTTCACAGAAAGAAAATGCAATCATGAACTCGTTTCATATCCCTGTGTGGTGGTGTGAACAAGAAACGAGTGCGGATTTTTCTCTTTTCGTGTCCCATGTAGGGAGGCCCTTGCTTTACCATGGAGCCATCACTGAGGACCGTCTCTCAGCAATGGCCGGTTTCCAGCCATTTTTTCAGAGTCACTGCGTGCATGCAGCCATGACTCTCAGGAAGTGCCAGGATATCCATCCATGCAAAACTGGGTGGATGCAAAACCAGTTTTGTCTGGATGGATATCCAGTGAAACACCTCCCTGGTACTTCCTGAAAGTTTCGACTGCATGCAAGCCGCATTGGGAAACGTACTGCACCTGGGTTCTTGGCTCCTGGCTGCAGACTAGGTAGACTAGGTAGATCACCGGCCCTGGACCTCGCCCAATAACTTGTCCCACGAGGGGAGAACGCGGAAGTTCGGGAAAAAAAAAGAACGCTGAGGTTCCATCTGTTCTGTGGAACAATACTGGGCCTTGGCCCCGGAATCGGGCGGTGGCTTATGGTCTGCCGTCATGATCCTACGGACAGTTACGGTCATGGATCACGTGGCGAGCAGAACAAAGCGGTACGCCCAGATTACAATCATGGAGGCCGTAGCAAGCACAGCAGAATCCTGCGCCGACGCTGCGAGCTTTTTGTGTGTGTCCCACCGACAAGACCTGTTGCTGGACCACGACTATGGGGCTCGCTCCACCCATCACGACATCCACAAAAAGACAAAAATTAGGGCGGTGACACGGCGTATCTTCCTATGTTCTAGCAAAAGATGCATTGTCATTTTGCACAGTTGAGCGTGGCCCTATGATGAGTCCCACGATGAGGACGACCCGCCCATCAGCACGACCGCCAGGTCCGCGCTGGTGGCGAATGTCAGAAGACAGGACAGCAAACGACGGGCAAAGAGACGAAGGGTTGAATCTACCCTCTCTGTGAATCTACCCTCTCTGTGTTTCTTAGTAACACAAGAAGGGGCACATTTGAACGTTTCCTATTGGAGAGGAGGAGATGGGACCTGGTGCCTTGGAACGCATAATGCGAGGCTTCCCAGCAGTCGCGGCGTGCTCACGTTCCGCGTTCCCTCCCTCCATAGCTCCGTCTAACCCATCGTCAGGCGGTTCCTGTCATCGGTCAGGGAAGGCGAGGGAGCGAGGGAGGAGAGAGGCTCGAGGATAGCGGCAGGAGTAGTGTAGAGCCGGGAGCGGAAAGGCACGCGGATCCTCCCCCGCCGGTTCCTTGCGCAGCTGTCTATCAGAGAAGAGCTTACCCCCTTAGGGTGGCAAGTCTCTGCTCCGCTTTGCCTGGGACCTACTGCACGGCGCTGCGCTGCGCCGCGCCGCGCTGCGTCTCTGCGGCTGCAGCTTCCGGGACGTAGCGACGGAGGGAAAAGCCTGAAAAAGGTTCTCGGGACCAAGAGAAGAGCAGTACGAATCTTCGTCGTACTACCGTAGTTGTTCGGTGGCGGGGGGGTTGTGTTTGGTCCTGGAGGGGTTGGTTAGGCCCTCTTTCCGACCCCTTGGCTAGGCCCGACCCCTTTTACCACCGGAAATTCTTGTTCACCCCGGAATTCGCGTCAAGTTTGAGCGGGACCGTGAATGGTTCCGATCGGCCCTTTTTAGTGGATACGCACCGCCATGTCCAACGCTACCGTAGGGGACGGGACTCAACTCTTCGCGGCGGAAAGCCCAGCACAGTGGTAGTGCGAGAGTCTGCATTAGGTGTAGAGATTTAGCTGTAGGTTTTGGTCCTTGTTCTCGTTCAGTCGCTCGCAGAGGGAGAGAGTGAGAGAAGCAAGACGGGAGGGAGGGAGGGAGGAGTAGAGGGTGGGTGGGAGGAGGAAAGTGGGGTGCCGTCTCCACGTGTATTGGGCTCCGGTGGGTCAAGGCTCGCGCGTGTCTGCGTATTTTCTGAACTTGCGCGCGGCTGCTGGTTGAGGAAATTGTGGGGATGCGGCCGCTGGAGGCGGCGGAGTGCCTCCTCGTCGTTCTCTAGGGAAAACGTCGCGGCCTCGGTCCATCGCACTTTCCTTCCTTCCCTCACCATTTCCTTATTTCTCTTGCCCACATCTGTGCATTTTTGTGCCTCCATTTGCCTTCATTCTCTCTCTCTCTCTCTCTCTCTCCCCCCCCCCCCCCCCCCCCCCTTCTCTCTCGTTCTCGCTCGATTTCTTTTGCCTTATACTGCCCGTTTGCTTGTTTCGCTTCGTTGTTTTTCTTTGCCTATGCTATACCCGTACGTACTTTTCTTTTCTTCGTAGTAGTCTCTCTCTCTCTCTCAACCCCTCCTGGCTCTTCGTTTTCATTCTTGTCGCCGCTCGTCCTGCGGGCGTCGAAGATGGCGATGGAGGTGACTCAGATTTTGTTAAATGCTCAGTCGTCTGATGGAGCGGTAAGGAATTTGGCGGAGGATAGTTTGAAGCAGTTTCAGGAGCAGAATTTCGCCGTGTTTCTTTTCTCTCTCGCTAATGAACTCGCTAACAATGACAAGCCCTCTGAATCTCGGCGGCTGGCAGGTCTCATTCTCAAGAACTCTCTCGATGCGAAGGAAGTCGCGAGGAAGGCGGAGTTCGTGCAGCGATGGGTGTCCTTGGATGCTATGGTGAAACTGCAGATCAAGGCGGCGCTTCTGGCAACCCTAGGCTCGCCGGTTCCCGAGGCATATCACTCGGCAGCACAGGTTATCGCGAAGGTCGCTTCCATCGAGCTGCCACGTGGCGAATGGCCAGAGCTTGTTCAAACTCTGCTGCAGAACATGGGGGCACCGGGCAATGAGCAGCCCGCCCATCTGAAGCAGGCCACCTTGGAGTCGCTCGGGTACGTGTGCGAGGAGGTGCTGGCAAATGTTTTGGCCCAAGATCAAGTGAATAGCATCCTGACGGCTGTCGTTCAAGGGATGAACGCTTCAGAGACCACTGGCGTCCGTCTGGCTGCTACCAAAGCTCTGTATAACGCTCTGGACTTCGCTCAGACCAACTTCGAGAACGAGATGGAGAGGAGCTACATCATGCAGGTGGTGTGCGAGGCAACTCAAAGCCCCGACAAGTTCGTACGACTTGCGGCTTTCGAGTGTCTGGTCTCCATAGCCTCCACGTACTACGAGAAGTTGGCGCCATACATGGAGGACATTTTCCACATCACCTCCAAAGCAACGAGGGAAGACGAGGAGCCGGTCGCGTTGCAGGCAATCGAGCTCTGGTCTTCAATCTGTGACGAGGAGATCGAGATTCAAGAAGACTTTGCTGGGGACTCGGAGATCACCAACTACCATTTCATCAAGCAAGCCTTGCCGGCCCTCGTTCCTATGCTGTTGGAAACCCTCTCCAAGCAAGAGGAGGATCAAGACGTGGACGAAGATGTGTGGAATCTCTCCATGGCAGGTGGTATCTGTCTCGGACTGGTTGCAAGGACAGTAGGAGATGACATCGTCGATATTGTGATGCCGTATGTGAAGGACAACATCACAAAGCAAGATTGGCATTTCAGAGAGGCAGCGACTTATGCTTTCGGCTCGATCTTGGAAGGTCCGACGTTGGAGAAGCTGACGCCTCTCGTCAATTCGGCTCTGGTCTTCCTGCAGAGAGCTATGAAGGATACGAACAACCATGTGAAGGACACCACGGCGTGGACGATTGGCAGGATCTGCGAGTTTCTGCACGGCCCGACGATCGAGGCTCCTGTCATCACGGCGAGCAATTTGCCATCCCTCTTGCAAGTCCTCCTGGAGAGTCTGAGGGACACTCCCAACGTTGCGGACAAGGTGTGTGGCGCGCTTTACTTTTTGGCGCAAGGGTACGAAGACAGCGGGATGTCCCCCTCACCGCTCTCTCCCTTTTTCCAGGCGATTGTTGAAGCCCTGCTGGCAACTGCAGATAGAGAAGACGCTGGAGAGACGAGGCTCAGAGCGTCGGCATACGAAGCGCTCAACGAAGTTGTGCGGTCGTCGACAGAAGACACGGACGCCATCGTCGTTCAATTGATCCCTGTAATTATGGACAAGCTGCTGAAAACTCTTGAGATGCAGATCGTATCAACCGACGAGAGGGAGAAGCAGACGGAGCTTCAGGCGCTCCTATGCGGCTCTCTTCAAGTTATCATCCAGAAGTTGAGCGGGACCGAGTCCAACAAGTACTCCGTCCAGCAGTATGCTGATCAAATGATGGCCCTGTTCTTGAGAGTGTTCGCGTGCAGGAGTGCGACTGTGCACGAGGAAGCTATGCTAGCGATCGGCGCCCTGGCGTATGCGGTCGGCAAGGAATTCGGGAAGTACATGCCGGAGTTTTACAAGTACTTGGAAATGGGGTTACAAAATTTCGAGGAGTACCAAGTTTGCTCTGTCACGGTGGGTGTCGTTGGAGATATCTGCCGAGCCCTAGATGAAAAAGTTTTGCCCTACTGCGACCGTATTATGTCTCAGCTTTTGACAGATCTGTCCTCTAATCAGCTGCATCGGAGCGTGAAGCCGCCGATTTTCTCGTGTTTCGGCGACATCGCACTGGCGATCAGCGAGAGCTTCGAGAAGTATCTGCTGTACGCGGTGCCCATGTTACAAAAGGCTGCGGAAATGTCGGCGCAGCAGCAGGCGAGAGGCGACGAAGAACTCATCGACTACAATAATCAGCTGAGGCGTGGCATATTCGAAGCCTACTCGGGTATTTTCCAGGGTTTCAAGGGGAAGAAGCCTGAGGTCTTGGCGCCGTATGCGGAGCATATCATCTGCTTCATCGAGAATGTGTTTCAAGACAAGGAAAGGTATGAATACGACTCTTTTCATTTGCTCTGCATAGCGATGTGTGTCATAAAAATAATCGCTCTACTCGTTTCTTACCTCATTATTGCGGGTATGATTTTGTCGCTTGTCATAGTCGCGCCTGTCCTGTCACGAGACAGGTTATTAGACCATACTAAGCGGGTGATTGTCGCATGCGGTTTTGTTGGATTTGGGGGTCATGAGGACGCATGCTTGGTCTGTGTACGCGTGTGATGTGAGCGTTTTTCTGGATGAGGATTTTGCATGATTTTTTTGTGCACGCCTACGTGTCTGTGCGTAATGAACAGATGCGAGAGCTTGTTTTTTCCCCTCTTGAAATTGATCTTTCTTTTCTCGTCCGCATGGAAATCGACGCCGTCACATATGACTCGGGTCTTGCTATCGTACAAGGCGATGTTTTGCAATCATGTGTAAATGCGCTGTATGTTGTAGTGAATACGATTGTTAGTTTCTGCCAGGTGGAAAGTGAGAACTGATTGGTGTCGGGGCTCTGTTATCCGTCGGATTTGATCGATCGATCGCGCTCGCACAGGATGTCCTCCTATCGCTCAACGTTTCTATCAGATGTAAGGGATCAGGAATTCGTGTGATGACGTTCTCGCGGGTGCGCACGATACATGTTTTATTAAGAATGTATGTTGTGGGTTTCTTCGTGTTGTTTTCTCGTTGGGAATCGCGGCTACGAACCGCGTCTTTAGAGCAGTACGGAAGTCCGATGGGTCAATTAACCCGGTCTTTTTTGCTTTCTTTGTACACGTTTAGTGCTTTGGTGTGTCTGACGTCTTTATGCTATGTAAGTTGTTATGTTCCTTCATCAGTTTCCTTAATTCAGCTTCATCATTTACATGCCGAAGCGGTCACGGTCTTGTTGATTGCCCGACCTATCACTGAGTGACATGGATTGCATGGTCTGCCCTGTCGGGAGGAACTACAATGGAAAAGTAGCATATGAAAGGCTTCATACGTGTCGCTCGGGAAAGTCTGTCGCTTCTCGAAAGGTAGTTCTTCCGTTCCGTACTGCGATGCCGGTCATGACCTGAATGTAGTGCCATGGCGATGAACGGTATTTTGCTGCTTTTTTGGTTTCTTTGTTTGGATCCGAACGGAGTGCCGCGATTCAATTGTCGCTCTGGTAAGTTTGTTCATGAATGCCATGTCTTCTCGCCCGGGATTTCGTCTTTGATTGGTAGACGTATAGGCGTCGATCGAGCTATTTTCGAGAACGCGGGCCGCGTGGCGGGTGGGCTTGTCTGGGGAATGTGGGTTGTCATGGCTTTGCTTCGGTGGTTTTTGTGCGGAGAGCTTGACACTTGGCAGTCTCTGCTTGCGGGCACGCATGCTGTACGGTGTTTGAATCTCCCAAGTACTACTAAATCCCATTTACGTTGCTTCGGAGTCCCGAATTCTTGCTTTGTCAAATACTTGCTCCGTGTTGAGCGTGCTGTTTCCTTTTACTTAAGGATTGCACGCAGATTGAAACTAGTCCGGCGAGGATTGCTTTTGCGGAAGTCTTACAGTTGCTAGTTTAAGGGTTGGAGAGAGATCTGTCTGCGACTCGGTTGGAATGACGAGGTGGGGCGGTGGGTGTGCGTTTTTTTTTTTGGGGGGGGGTGTGGGAATGACGAGATGGGGCGGGCGGAAATGCTAAGTACTGCTGTTTCCTGGTTGCTAGGTTCTGACGGATGGAGATGGATCTGTCAGCGAGCCAGACGCGAATTTTGTTTGTGTGGGTTCGGGTTTCTGAGTTCTCGTAATTTGTCTGTGAGCAACCAGTAATGCTGACGACAGCGCACGCTTGGCGTTGAGGAGGATCTAGTACAAGTGGGTCTGTGTGTGTGCGCGGCGTAGATTCGATTTCGGATGTTCAAATAGCAGGAGCGAAAACCTGTTCCTGTATTTGCTTGACTGTGTTTGTCGACTTGTTTTCTTACGTCTCTCTTAGGTAAAGGTTCGTATGTGTTCAGTTGACGTCCGAATATTCGCCTTCGTCGACTCGTTTGCCATCTTTTTCGTTGATTCTTTGCGGACCGTGTTTTTTCCTGATCGGGAATTCCTATTTCAGGCTCGTGATTGGGGTGTCTTTTGACGTGTATGTAGATGGCATCTCAAGGAGTTGGTTTCGCCCCGTACTGTACTGTATCCTAGTAGAGTCTTTTAGAGATTCGTTCAGCTTCCCTTTGGCTCCGTAGTGGCCATTGCGATGCCCCGTGATCGTAAATGACGTAGGTCTGTGAGTTTACGGATTTACGGATTAACGCTGTTTGAAGTAGGTTGAGTAGTGTTTCCCGGAGGTACGCGTCGTATTTGAGGCCGTTGATGAACTCTGATCTCAGCATGTGGGATCCATTCTTTCATTAATTTTCGATTAGCAGCATTCCGTAGGGAGAGTAATTAACCTGAACCCGTTACGACTACGAATAGAGCGCCCGTGTATTATCGCTGGTAGAGACGACGCCCGGTCATCATCATTGTAACTAAGCAACGGCTGGTCATCATCGCCCTATCGATGCTGAAGGTTGCACCGAACATCGCTATAATGACCGGGCGTTCTATTCTTATGAAGACGATAAGTGTGAGATGTGTTTTTTACCCGAGCACGCCAGAGAAGGCAGAGAGACTACGGAGGTACTGACTATGAAGGCGGGCAATTTTTATGCTCTACCACATACAGCGGTCGTTTTTGGGATTGTTACGTACCGTGGGGGGTGCTCTGCGTGACGCAAGTCTCCTGGTAGAAGGACGAATTAATATTAGATTGGGAAGGGCAATTTTTTCTCCCATCGGATCACCCTTTTCGTCTTTTTTGGGGATTTGACCTCATCCGAGTAACGAGTACAACGTCGCTGCGTGTTTTCTCTTTCAAGCTCCGGATCTACCACTCGTGGAATTGAGCAACCGGAAAACAACGGGTTTAAGAGGGGTAAATGTTGTCAACTTAGTTTCTCGAGGACTTGTACTAACGCTTGGAAATGAATGATAACTGCAATTGCAAAGTGCGGTGTCTCAACAGGGTCCCTGGGTTATGGCTGTTGAGTAGGGATTCCGTCTAGGTTTAGAGACATCCGTCGGGCGTTGGCCTGCACTGCAGAGAAAATCGAAGTTATGGGCACGCTGTGATGGACCACATCTATGGCGACGTTAGGAGATGTAGTTTGTCGTTTACTCTGTCCTACCGACGTTTCGGGTTCGGGTACTCGTCCGACGCATCGTCGGAGGGTTGCTACGAAGTCAAAGGGAGTATGCGACGGCGTTTGGTAGGTAGGGGTGCTCACTTACCGAGGTCTCGATCGATGGGGACGTTAGAAATGAATGTGGGCATCTATTTGCCTAGGTCTGGAGTGGGTTGGGTTGTCCACCGGCGCATCGATAGCGGTGTCCATTGTGAAGGCCTCGATGCCCTTTGATGTCTCGTTTGAGACCTATCGAGTTGTGTATCAATGCCGGCCTCGATGCTTGTTGATGCTTCGACGAGATCTATTGTGCCGCGCGTTAAGGGGTTTGCATGAAATTGTACGAGGTTTTGTAGGTGAGTGAGCGCGAACGCTCCGCTCCGCCCGCACTTCACGTGGAGTAAAATGGAAGGTCCATTGTCGTTGACGTTCTGGTTTGTCTTTACCTGATTTGTTGCGCATGTGGTTTTTCATCAACGGGAATTGGAAGGGAGCTCGTATTATCCTGTGTAATATATTCTCTTACGAGTTAAACTGTTGTGTCCGGCGGGGTTAAAAGGGGGGGGATAAAAGGGGTCTGTGGTTTTGTAAGTGAGTGAGTGTGAATCCTATGCTCCGCCCGCACTTCGTGTGGAGTGAAATTGAGGGTCCTCAGTCGCTGACGTACTTCTTATCTATTTGAAGTGCTGCACCTTTTCATTTTTCGATTTCTGGACCCGGCGGTTTCTCAGGGCACCGTGCAATATCCTTCAGAAGTTGAGTTGGATCTCAGGGCACCATGCAGTATCTTTTGGAAGTAAGTTGATTTCAGGGCCCTACGATGCGGTGTTTATAAACGGGACGGGACGTTAAGTGAGAGACGTAGTATCTTGTGCAGTGTAATGTGATTGTCGAGGCGAGTTTGTGACGCAAACGGGACTACCTTCCTTCCCCCTAATACGACGACGTATGGTCATTTTAGCTGTATTTAGACTGACAGGTACCCCAAATACAGCTATTTCGACCGTATATTGTACTCGGGGGAAGAAGGTAGTTTTAGAAATAGAGACGCTTGGACTTGCGGAAGGGTTTGATCTTATCTTTGGTGGACAGAGAGAATTTTCGGAACCCGTGATCGCCCCTGCGCCTTCGTGAGGTCTTGTGTATTCGCTGTAGTTGAACATTAGGGTTTCGTCCCTTTTACGTTCTCGCTTTTGAGGGTCGTGGGGTCGTCTGCACTGGTACTCTTGAGTTCACATCCTCGGTGTCTGGGCGTTTATCTCCTCTTCCATTCAATGGTGCTCGACCTAAAGATCGACCTTAAGGGCCATGGAATTCTTTTGTAGGTTGATGGCGAGAGCTGGTTTTATGTGCTGGTGAGCGCTGACCGGCACGAGCATTTTAACTGCTTCATTGGAGATACCCCTATTCCGATTAGACATGGGGACGTTGCACATGTTGTTCGGTTGACAGCCACCTGTTTGTGAGCGACGAGAGAAAAGAGAGGTGCTAGTTGTGACCGGATCTTCGAACGTGCCTGCACTTCTTCCCAGTCGTCAAGGCTGTGAGCCCGTGTATGTTACGCACAGGGCTCGCGCGTCCGCTGCGGATCCGGGTGTTGTTGATCTGAGATGGCATGTCTTGCAATGGGGATAATTTGTTCTCACTACCATAGCCCTTCACCCACCTCCTCATGCGCAGCTGCAGGTATGCGGCATCCTCGGCTCTCTGAAAGATTTCAATTAGCAGATAAAGCTAGTCTTGACTACCTGCGATTGAATGTTCTGGAGCATCTTTGCTGCTGTGGTCTTAATCACGCGGTGTTTCTTTCCCTACGTTGGGAATCAGTTTGTAGCCGGTTCCCTGCTTTTAACTCAGTCCAATGTGCATCCATTCCAGGACACGTCATGGAATTGGATGCGCGTGGGAGTGTGAAACGCCGTGGATGATTTATCTAATATTTCGTCGTGAGGAAACAGTTTCCTTAGCTGTAGTTTTGCAATAGCTTTGCCGAGGTGGCAGTGTATAGAATGAGAAAGGACGTGGCAGTGTCGATGCAGTTTTTCTCTATGTTGTTGTCGTCTGCGTCTCATGTACAACACTGATCGGATCTGCCAGTGCCTGTGCTCCGGCTTTTTTACCCGCGCTTTCAATTCGTGCCCTTAACAGTTTGCGGTGCGCTCTTCTATTCGCTATGGTGATGAAAACTTCATGCCTTTCCATGTATAACGTGCTAGCGAGCAAAGATGGACGTTGCTAGCTCGCCCGAGCCAGTACTTCACCTCAGAGGCTTACTTGCTGAAGCACGCCATGATTGCAAAAGTTGGCGGTGAGAGTCTGTAGTTCTTTTCCTTTCTCGAAGGGAAGGCGGACGGAATGCTGCAATACGAGGTGCAGTACGACGCTGCACCTGCTGCTATGAGCCACAGGCGAACTTACAAGTCCACATCCCATTTGTCATGGGTTGAAACTCAGGATCAGGCCCCGTTAGTGCTATGTTCATGCTTTGGATAGCGTGAACCACGTCATACAATTAGTGCTATGTGTACGATTGGAAAACGTCAACGAAGTCATCGAATTGGGGACGTTAGCATGAGCACAGTAGCATTGCCCTGCCGTCGTTGAAGTGCTCAAATGTAGGTGGCCGTCGCCGGAACCTGAGTCGCTGGATGTTAGAGGACAGCATTGCACTAGGATTGCGAAGAGCACGTAGTGTGGCAATGAACATGAACGCAAGAGCTTTGCGTGACCAGTAGCGAAAGGTTTCGGTAGTCGTCGTTACAGCCGAAGAATTACGTGAACAGATGTGTCCCCCCTTGCAACCCTGACAGACGTATAAAGCTTCTCCCATCTGAAAGTGAATCGTACAACAAGGGTGGCAATCTTCCGAGTGACTGATTTTATCTCCGTGGCTTGACGCTTTTGATAGTGAGCTAGGATTGATAATGAGCCAGGGTTGCGATTGGTCTGGTTATTACCCGTCTTCCTCTGAATAGGAAGGTCGTTAAATGTGTGTTCGAGGTAACTTCACCCCGCCTTTTGCCAATCTAGGTCGTGCGATCATGGAAATGAACGATAGACTTCGTGAAACGCTTTCTGTTGTCGGCACTTGGTTCTGGGGTTGATGGCCAAGTGGATAGTTTGCGTGCTCCCAGAAAAATGTAAGTGAACATGGAGGGCGATCTGTCGGAGTCGGTCTGGTGCAAGGAGGGGTTGTCCCCACGATTGCTGCAATTTTTCGAGTCGTAATGACCGGTCGTTGTATTTGGGTGAAGACAGACGTCTTTTCCCAAAAGGGTATCGTCTTCACCCGAATAGAACGCCCGGTCATTATAGATGTATTTGGCGCAACTTTCGGTCCAGATGCAGCGATAATTACCGGGCGTTCTATTCGGGTGAAGACGGTAGTCGTCACAAGGGTTCCGCTTTGTTCGGAGAAAGACGATAGGTCGGTGTCATACTCGCACGCAACTTCACGTGGGCCAATCGGCTTCCTAGCGTGCCAAAAATGTAAAACGTACGAGTGAGATGTGGATTATTTTATCAATGCTATTCATCAGATCGGAACGGATTTCGAAAGCTCATGCAAATGAGGATATGGGGGGGGGGGGGAGACTGAATGTGGTGGCAGTGGTCAGGTTTTGTATTTCTTTTCGTAATCTCAATGTGGGGTAGGCTAATTGGTCGATCATGAATTCCTTACCGTGTATTCTAATTGGTTGTGTTGGTGGTCACCTTAATTGTTGGACCCCTTGTGTGTTTGTAGGGACGAGATTGTGACGAAGGCTGCAATTGGAGTTCTTGGTGATCTGGCGGACACATTAGGTCCATCTGTTGGCCCGCTTTTCGGACAGCATCCATTCTACAGAGAGTATGTGGAAGAATGTCTGCATTCAGAAGACAATCAATTGACAGAGACAGCAGAGTGGGTGAAGGGAAGGATTGCTGTGGTAGTCGGTGGTGCCAGCAGCTGAAATTGACGGATGGAGTTGAGTCGGAGATTCTCTTGCAGAGATGGGGAAGGGTGGTTGCAATGATGCAGGGCGGGGGGGTTAAGGGTGCGGTGGGTAGGAGAGGGGCATGTGTGCTGTTTGAGAGAGAGAGAGAGAGAGAGAGAGAGAGAGAGAGCGGCAATTAGGAAATAGGTGTTTTGAAGTTGAGTCATAGTCATTTCATTCTGTAATATTGCACTGTTATGTGTGTTAAGTCCTTGGTGGCCGGGTCTTCATTCGGACCTGGCAAACCTTTGCCGTGGTGCATTGCTCATTTTGCCTACACTTCAACGGGTCAAACGGTCGTCATGGTGAGAGGTGGATTTCGGAGAGGGAGGTGGTGGTCGTTTCTTTCCTTCAAGCCTGGGACTCCATCTTCTGACGATTGCAGTCGACCACTCGTTTGTTTTTTGTTTTTTTTTTCCCCCCTTCTAGCAGGTGGTCTGTGATAGATGCGTCTTCTTTGGGCAGTATGTGCATGAAGGTGTGCTGCTGGCATGCGATCTCTTGCCAGTTTTTCTCCTATCTTCTTTTATCTCGTCTTATTGCTACTTGTTGTTAAGCCCTTTAGTGACAGGACATGTCCTTCTCTCCTTGTCTCGTTCCCTCTGCAAAAGTCTTGTCTGGAAGGATGCTTGCATGTTCTGATTAGGTTGTTGTTCTTATTGGTCTTTGGCGTAGCTCGTGGAGATGAGGTAATGGTGGCTCGGAGGAGAAGGGTTGGACTCCAGCTAGCCTCTCTTGCAGTCGTACACAGGGGGGTGTAGGAGGGAGAGGATTTGCTGAGGCGGAGTAGTGGAACAAAGGGGAGATTTGAGAAAAATGGGTGGTTTGATTTGTTGCCTTGATTGTGATGTTTGCACGGTTTTAGTCCAATCTCTTACCTGTCTCATTGCCTCTTGTTGAGCGGTCGAGTGACATGATGGACGCTCTCCTTCCCGTCGCTTCCCGGTCTCTTTCTTTGTTCTTTGGAAGGATGCTTGTTTCCTCTGATTTGTTGTCTGTAATGGTGAGGTGCTGGTGGCTGGTTGGCTATTCTGCGGAAAGGAGAGCGAGGGATGGTAATTGCTAATTTCTGCTGCAAGCCTTGTGTTTGCGATCACAAACGTGTGACGATTATTTGTCGAAAGGAGGGGCGGGGGGKGGGGAGGGGAAGGAGAGGGGTGAACCGATGAAGGGAGAGAGCGGCGGAAAGCAGTTAGATTTGTCCTCTTGGTCCGTTGAAGAGGCAATCCACGGTTTGCATTCAATAATTGCCTGCAGAGGGGGAGCTATTTTTGGTTTCCCTTTGAGCATATTAATTACGAGACAATCTAGGTTCCTTTTCTCTCCCTCCCAACGAAGAGGCATACTTTCATTCATTTTCTGTTTGCAGGACGCTCATTTATATTAGGTGCGGATGCAGTGGATCACATCGTTGCTGGTGCTGTCGGTGTTTGCATGTTTGGATTTGGCTGTTTACATGAGCATTATTCGAATTTGTTGATAATGGTTTCGATGATGGTTTTGATGATGGTTGGTTTTGATTGCGGAAATTAAGGCTTGATTGATGAGTTGAGGGGGTTATTACAGCTGAGGCAGTCATGGGTCATAATGACGACGTTGAAAAGGGGTGGTTTCGGATAAGTAGATGATGCGAGCGAATGGGTTGTTCTCCCAGGACGGAGGCATCTTTGGATTGGTAGAAGAGATGGCAGATGTGGTGGTCCCGGTGATGCTTTCGAAGATGGCGATGGAGGTCGAGACATATGGTTCTTTGTACCAGAGGTAGGCATTCCGCTGAGATCGTGATGTGGCGAGTGCATTTGAGCCTTTGGAACAAGGCAAGCTTGCATCTTTTTATATGCCCCCTTCCGAGCACTACTAAATATTGGGGGGGGGGGGGGGGGGGGGGGGGGGGTATGGGTTTGTGGCCCTTTTTTTGCCTTCTGACGAACCCTGATGAGCATTGTAATGATCTGAATAGTAAATGTTGGTTTGACTGGACTGAAACTCTTTGAACGAATACATTGCTGTGCGGTTTATTGTTCAGTCTTTGGAGTCTTTGACGAGTCTTTGGAGTCTTTGACCTGCGGAATTGCTTGGCCTCTCCTCTGGTACGTCCGCTTTTTCTCTCAAAGTAGAGGCGTTACTGTTGCCATGTAGCTTCGGACTAGCATGGAGCAAATACGACTCCTGTGCTGTCTGCTTGGTTTGTCGGCTTCTCTTGTAGGTGGGATGGGCTATGCATGTGTCAGTTTCACGTTCTTCACCATGCTTCCCGTCTATTCTTGCTGTCTGGGGGTGTTTTTTATGTACTGGTGTTCTCGTCAATTCCCAAGGACGTGATAGAGGGGGCTCGGATGAATGTTTGAAGTGTTAAACCACCAGTACTTGGCCCAGTTATCGATGCCGAGCCTGGAATGCCCCTGCGCGCCGATTATTGCCGAGGCCCCGGGGTCCTGTTTCGAAATTTGTTTTGGCTGGCGCTTCCAGCCATTGAGGTCCGGTACCCCGAACCCCTGAAGGCGTGGTGCGTTAATGGGAAAGCGCCGCGGCTGGTAAGTACTGGTGGTTTAATAGGTGTGCGTATGCTTGAATTGCACGAGGTTTGTTGACTCGAGTACTGTTAAGAGAACACGAGGGTGGATGTGCTTGTCTGCTTTTGAACTCTTGTAATTGAACCTGCAATTGCTGGAAATGTTTATGCACTTGGTGCTTGTCAACAAACGATGTGTGAGGCAGCACTTGGTGCTGTCTCTGTGTTTTCTGTTTTTTGTCTTGTGGGCCCCTGCATGTGTGTGCGTGTGCGCTTGCAGATGTGTGCACATGTGGGCGGGTGGGTGTTTGGGTACATTTGTGTTGTGTGTGTGTGGGGAGAGAGAGAGAGAGAGAGAGAGAGAGAGAGAGAGGGTATGACTGATGTTGGGCTCGATTTATGGAGAACTCTCCTCGGTTGCCACTTCTGGTGGCATGCCGTAGGTGTGTCACTTGCAATCGTATGGGTCAGGGCTTGTGTCCATTTGAGATGCGCTCCGCTTTGAAATCGCTTGGTATTTTCCATGACATCCATACGGTGAGAGATCCACCCTGTGCCCCTGTTTTTCCATATGTGGAGTTGTGCTTCTGATGGGTCTGAAGGAACCGGTTTATCGTATGCTATGTTACAGCAGAGTAACTAATTTGTCCTTATGTTGTTAACAGGCCACGTATCCAATGGAACGTTTGAAAATGTCAGAACATGAATATAAATTGCCCTTTTGTACATACATTCAACCCCTTTCTTGATTGGGGTGGGTAGCCTACCGATATTGGCCTACCCCTTTATTGATTGGGGTGGGTAGCACACTCTCAAGTAGGGGCTGTTTTTCCCCTTTCTTGATTGGGGTGGGTAGCACACTCTCAAGTAGGGGCTGTCTTTCCCCTTTCTTGATTGTGGTGGGTTGCACACTCTCAAGTAGGGGCTGTTTTGTACAGGGCAGTGCTAAAGAACGTGGTCCTTGCCGTCGTCCCTCATCATAGTGCAAACATCAGTGCCTGGTCGAAAGATGAGCAAGGCTTAGGAACTGCGAGTCCATCTGTGTACGCAGCACAGCACTGTAGATGTTGCTTGTATACGAGTACTGGGCCAAACAAAACCCACAGTGCCCGGGGTCGGTTGCAGCGTGGCGGGATGGGGCAACATAGTATATATGTTTTACCAAGGCACAGGTTCTTTTGCTTTTTTAAAACGGTAGACTTTTCAACCGTTTTCGTTTGTGCTATAAGGTTTCTTGACGACTCTTTGGTGTGATGGATGGGTGACTAATTGGGTGGTTCTGTAGATTCCGACTTCTCTTGCCACGTAGACGAGTCAAACACGAATATTATTATTATTTTTAATTAAAAAAAGTTGTTGCTTTGCACCTTTCTTTTTGCATCAATGGCACTGTGTTCTTGTCTCGGAAAATTTGACTTCTTGTTTGTCAATGTAGCATTAGATTGACTGACGGTTCAACCAGAAAGCGGGGTGAGCGACCTGACCTGCCCACTCCAGTGGTTAAGGGCAAGCGACCTGCCCGCCGGCATGCGACCCCAGGCAACCTGCTGATTTCCCAGGTCGTCATGCCGGACTATAAGCCCAGGAGCTTGCTTCAGAAACGCTAGGGATAGCTCTTGATATGAAATGCTTGCGTGGACACTTTACCCCAGAAAGAACGAAAATAACCGGTGTTCCTGGAAAGGGAGAGAATTCCATTCTTCTTTACAAACCGGATGGGCAATGCGTTTCACCAGATATGGAAACCTGTAACGCATCACTACTGCTGCAAGGGAAATCAAGCCAAACGGGTCACGACTCCTTCAAGATTGACTCAAGCCGTAATGCAGTACTACACCGGAGACTGAACTCGGATCATTTGTTGGCCAAACGGGTGTCGGCCTTTAGTGCCAGAAAGGTATTGTAGATTGTTGCATTATCAATTCAGCCATTTGTTGGCATTCAAACGTTTGTGGGATCGTGCGTTTTGACTTGTAGATAGCTGCTGGAGGTCAATGAAGGCAGTGGCAGGGTCTCGGCCCGCCATAAATGAAATTTGCTAACGAACACAATGCACCCCCGTTTTGGCTGTACCACGCTCGGAAGACAGCTTGTATACATTTGTTAACAGGGTGCGTTGTGCTCGGGTTATAAGACGGTGGTGGCAAGGTTGGGACTTGTAGGCAAAAAAATGTCTCTTCTAGTCAGAAGTTATGGGAGCCTTCTGTAGGCAAAAAAATGTCTCTTCTAGTCAGAAGTTATGGGAGCCTTCTGTAGGCAAAAAAATGTCTCTTCTAGTCAGAAGTTATGGGAGCCTTCTGTAGGCAAAAAAATGTCTCTTCTAGTCAGAAGTTATGGGAGCCTTCTGTAGGCAAAAAAATGTCTCTTCTAGTCAGAAGTGCTGGGAGAAAGCTCCCATGACAACACAACGGTATGTCTGTGAAGTGTCTGAACGTGTGAAAGAAGTCCGTCTTGCGCTTAGCGAACGGTAAATGAAAGCATGGAGAGCGGAGAAAGTCATGCCAGGCGTGTAGACCATGCCTGCTCTGGAACTTGGTGCGTGTCCACATGCGGGCACCTCGACGAGTAGAAGGCATGAGGTGTTTTTGTGGGGATAAACATTCTCCACCCTGTCGTTGTTGTTTGTGGAGCCAGAGCCATAGTTGGAAGCAGCCTAGAGTCTGACGCCTGATGGTAGATGGGCTCTCCAAGCAGTGTTACGAACTGAAGGAAGTGAGCGGTTGGGGATGAACAAATGGTGGATATATAGCTGATCGGCGGCAATGGAGCGGCGAGAGCTGGAGGGTGTTTTCCAAGTTGCATGAGAAGATCAGGGGCGGTGGGTGAGTTAGCAGATGCCAGCTGGAGAATGTTGGCTTGGCTGAAAGAACAAGTGCAAGTTACGATATTGCACTGCCTACGGAATGAATGCAAGGCAGCTTCCTCCATTTCTACTCGCTCAGCCAAGCACGCCAATGGCGGTTGCGTATGTGCTGTAAGTTAAGAATAAAGGGGTCAGCTGGTATGCTAATGAGGATTAAGAAAAGTAGGATAGGAAAAAAGAAAACCACCCCTAGAGAGATGCAAAAAAAACTAGGAAGAAAAAACATGTTGTAGTGGAGGAACATAACGTGCTGTCACGAGGGGAGAGCCGTCGGCATCGGCTCTATTAGAGCCCTTGGGTGATGATGGCGTGCAGCCTGCTCACCTGGCAAAGATTTTATTATTTTTTTTCCCCCGCAACCTGGCAAAGATTTTGGTCCTCTGAATGTTGGCACTTGCCTCAAAACTCCCGGAATGTGCAAAATGGAACGTGCATCTTCTGCAAAAACATGGAAAGATGCATCTGCCATAGGTTGTTGGGAGGAGGGGTCCCGTTAGGAAGCCCTGCTTGCGAAGCTGCACCTGCTGGGAGGGGTCCCTTTAGGAAGTCGTTCGGACGGTTTGGTTCAGAGTCTTGACTTGTGTGTCCATATGGGGTATAGGGGGATCCCATGGATGCGCCGCCTGAGGAACAATATGATTGAACGCAGGGAAATCAGAACCTCTGATTCCCCAGGGCACAGTCCCACTGACAGAGGGACGAGGTAAATAAATGGTGGAAAAGAAGCCCATGTAATTTCTCCACGACGCGGATGGTTTTTTTTTTTTTTTTTTTTTTTTCCCCCTTTTTTATGACAACTTTCAATCTATTGTCGGTAGCAAGACATGCTGGGAAATCGGCCCAGTGTCCCGATTGACATGTTGGGAAATGGGCCCAGTGTCCCGGCTGACATGCTGGGAAATGGGCAGTGTCCCGATTGACATGCTGGGAAACGGTGGGCCCAGTGTCCTGATTGAAACTGAAGTGGCGAAGATCCAAGTTTTGCGAGTGGGCTCTCGCCCCACGTGTCAATTGCAGGGGTGTCCAGCGCTTCGTACCGAGATGGAGAATGCTTTATCTGGCTGTGTGAGATGTTTGAGGTCTTTGTTCCCCCAGGCCACCCTGCCCCCCCTTTTCCGGCCCCTTGCAACAATGGGGATATGCCAGCCATCTTTGGGTTGCTACTGGACGGACCGCCCCGGCACTCAGTATCTCGGGGTGATTTCTGGGAGGCCAGCGGGCACAGTTGTAGTTCACCTGGCAAACGCGCGTGCTGCGGTGTGAATATGTGTTTTGAGGGCTGGATGTGCTGAGCTTGCGGCACACTGCGGAGGTTTGTAGAACACATCCTGACCTGGTTGGATGCTGTGCCTGCATGCTGTCTCTTATACACATCTAGATGTGTATAAGAGACAGCTGCGGAGGTTTGTAGAACACATCCTGACCTGGTTGGATGCTGTGCCTGCATGGCAAGCACGCAGACAAAGGCAGCTGCGCACATGGGCAGTCG